TTAGCTGTCAATTTTCTACCTTTCTCTGCCCAACATGGAGACATCTTCTTGAACATTCCCACTAGAATATTAATTGTATGTACAAAAGGAAATGATTTGACATGTCATCTTTTCCTCTTTACTAGCAGTATTGGACAAGGTTAGGATGAGGAAGAAACAAAGAACTTGAAGTGTCAGTGATCTGCTGGCTTTATGCATACATGATGACTACTCCCAACCATAATCAAGAATCAGCCACCCATAACTCCAGACTCCAAGGCCGATATATTCAGCTCCCATGGATGAGATAAATTGAAGAGAGGCCATTAGCTGACAATGTCTGAAAACTTCAAATGACATGACAATCTTTTCCTAGAAGGGGAAATGACCAAGGAGGACTTTCTGGGTTGTTTTTTTTTTTTTTTTTTTTTGTCTGCATGTACATTAGTCAGAGTTCTTGACTGTTTACAAACCAACTCTGGCCAATGGAAGCAGAATAGGATTGATTGTACTGATTTCAAGTGCTGCAGAATTAGAAGGGAACACCACTATTCCACCTCAACTGCTAGACACTACCTGATTCTGGAGATAACTAGGATAAAGTTGAACTTTTCTCTTTGACTTTACAACAACCGAGCAAGATTCAGGGTTCCAAACAGGAGCAGCTGAATCGTCTAGATGGGTCACACATCTGAGCCCTAGATGTCAGGAGTTAGGTAACTGAGTATCTGGCACTCTTCTGCTCCATGATGCGAGAGAGGGTCCTAAGATGCACATGGTGTGGGTTCCCCCAAATAGAAAGGTGGTTTGCATGCTGCTCTGCCACAGAAAAATGACAGACACCCACTACATCACAGTTTAACAGTGCAGCATCTGTATGACTTGATAATACATCATTTATAAAAGTGTCTAAAACCTAGTCTCTACAACCACAAATCCAATGCTCCAAGTGGGGTAGATTTAGGATTCATAGCCTGTAAGGAATTCCTGCTCTGAAGGCTAAAAAGAAAAGAAATCAGTCAAAATAAAATTTTAATCAGCAGTTTCCTGGTCCTTTACCCACAGCAATTTTAGAAGTTGTGGTTGAACACTGCATGCTACTGACATGTCACAAAATCCATGCTGCCCGCACACATTAACCCAGGAGAGCTTTCAACTCTCGATCAAGTTTCCATTCCTCTCTGAAGTCCTCCCAACTCAAAAGAGCAAGACAACTCCAACTAAGGCTTGGCTCCTTAGTCTATTGGTTAATATGGAACTCCTGGGAGGTAGGTGCAGCTCCCCTGTAGAAGCTTCAGCTGAGCCAGTGTAGTCTTTAGCTTAAGGGAGGCCGGAGACTAAGTTTGAGTAGAGGAAGGATAAGGTCCAAGCTGGGAAGGAAAACTCTTCTTGGTCAGTTATAGTGATCCTCAAGGCAAGAAACAGAATTGAGACCTGCAGAGGACCTGCAGAATTGAGGTCAGAGGACAAAAGCAGTGTAGGAATGGGTGTAGTGGAGTTCACTGTGGGGAGCCACTCTGAATGACCACACCTTCCAGTCCTGAAGCAGGAGGCTCTGACCAATCACTTGGTGGTGACTTGGGCGTTGTCGTGCCTGGATAGCAAGGCCAGTCTTCTGAGTAGGTGTAACCCTGGGGTCAGGCTACATTCACCTATTCTTTTGTAATCTTACCCCTTTGCCCTATTTGGGATAGAATGTTCCATGGAAACTCTCTTTGTGTGTCCCCTTCTCTTGCTCTGCCTTTGGGCATGGCCTTCCTAGATGTCAGTCAGTCTGCTGACAGTAGACATCAAGAGGCTAGATTCAACCCCCTGAAACCTGACCCCTTGCCTCATTTGAATGGCTTCTCCTCAATAAAAGGGTTCAGAACAAGCTCTCTCACTCTCTCTTTCCATGGACCCCTAAGTCAGAGGAGCCTTAGAGGACCCAAAGAAAAAGGTATCACTGTCTCTTGTATGATTATTCATCTGGAGTGACCCTGAGTGTTTTAGTTGTGAGAAATGTGACAGGACACAGCACAGTTTTCTTTTCCAAATTAAGCACCAGTAACATCAGCAAATGATATAAAAAGTTATAGTAATTTGCTTCCAGGAATCTAATTCCACAGGGAAAACCAACATGTTTCTCCTATGCTCACACAACCAACACAACCTCCCAACAAGGGAGGTGGGGAGGGTCCCCACATGCCAAGCAATTCTGCAGTGGACACCAGTTGTATACCCTCTAATTTAGTTCTGATACTGCTTACCTGGAGATGGCATCAGATCATCCCACAAGACTGCCCTCCCGTCAGATGCCAATCGCAAGTAGTTGTTGTCATCTATACCTATGACCAACTAGCTATATATTTGGGATCTCACAACCCTCTCCTTGAGTTTTACTAATTTGTTAGAGTGACTCACAGAACTCAGAGAAAACTTTAGTTTTCATCCTTTTATTACAGGCTATTGCAAAGGCTACAGATGAAAAGCCAGATGGAGAAGACACATAAAGCAAGGTATGGGGAAGGAGCACAGAGCTTCCATACCCTCCAGGAACCTCCCACATGTTCAATTCAGCAGCTCACTGAACCTAGGCCTTTTGGGCTTTTATGGGGGCTTCATTACATAGGCATGATTGATTACATCACTAGTCATTCATCAACTCAATCTTCTGCTACAAACTCCTCCCTGGAGGTTGGGGGGTAGAGCTAAAGTCCCAACTCTCTAATCAGGACATGGTCTTTCTGGTGATCAGCCCTAATCATAAGGCTACCTAGGGGTCCCCAGCACTAGTCATCTCATTAGCATACAAGAGAGATTCTTATCACTCCAGAGATTTCAAGGATTTTAGGAGTTTTAAGTAAAGAAATTTGATGAAGACTAAATGTATGCAATATCACACATAGATGTACTTTCACAAGTATAGAAAGATATATATATATATAATATCTAAAGCATTGCTGTCAACACTGAAAATAACCGCCCACCAGTAGTTTAATATATTTTTGTATAGTCATACTATGGGAAATAATACTACTACAAAAAAGAGTGAACTACTATATAGTGATATTATCTACAAGCAAGAAAAGAGAGTGGCACAAGAGTGTGCATTGTATTTTCTTAGGGTGGAAGAAAATATTTCCTGTTTCCATTTAACTGCTTTCTGTGATCATGCAGTCTATTTATAATTTTAAAAATTAATCAAAATGAGTAAAAAGGTAACAAGCAGAAGTTAAGGGTCAAGAAATAAATTTTCCCCATCAGTGCTGCCCACCTGGGGCTGTAGGAAAGTGAGCTTCTTTCAGCCAAGGACATTTTCCTGCCTGAAAGTCCAAAGGGGAAACCACCTCTATCAAATCTCTCTCTGAATGTCCCTCAGAGCCTGGATTCTGTTCAGCTCTGGGGAGGGCCTGCCCCTGCCTCCTCCTCAGGCATTTGGGAGGCATATCACATCCAGGCTCTGAAAGTGACACTGCTGGATGCCCCTCCCTCAAAACAAAAACAAAACAAAACAAAACAAAACCAGAGTATTAAAATCGTAGGACTAGATAGAATGGGGCACACTCGGGTATGTGGCCTTGCAATAATGGTGGTGAAGTTGGTGGCAATGGTTAAGAAGCCAATGGAAGCTAAGCTAATTTCAAACTGAACTGACTTCTAGAGATGAAATACAGAGGAGCAGGGATGGGGGAAGGAAGGAAGGAAAAAAGGATGGAACTAATGCCCTATCCTCTGGATTAAACCAACAGCCCTGAACAGCCTGTGCTGAAGCTTGAATGAAAGACACTTCATTCAAAAGTGGGGAAGGGGACTAGCTTAGAGAAGGGCCCCAAAGGAGAGTTCTTCCTAACTTCCCACTGACATAGGAGAATTTTGCCCACACAAGACCCCGTGGAAACCCAGCTGGTGGTGCCACAAGAGGAGGGCCAGAGCTGCATGAGTCAAAGTTGGTCAGGCCATAGCTCTTCTTCCAACACTGGGGGTGCTAGCCTTGCCCTACCCTGACCTTGGGTCACAACTTTCCATCTGCCAGGGTGTTTCCCCACTTTTCCTTTTGAGCAAGGAAGAGTTAACTCCAGTGTGTTCAGGGGTGGAAAAGTGAGCAAATGAACCCCTTTCCTGGACCCCTGCTTAGGCAATCTGGGAAGTTCTAATACCAGGGTCTGGGAGACTCAAACCCTTGTTTGTATCCTTCTACTGCAGGGAAATTCCCAGTTCAGTCTGGAGTCCACATTCAAGCCCCTGAAACAAGAGTGGCTGGAGGAAGGTCTAATTGCCCCAGGGTAGTATTTGGCTTTGGTTTGGCACCTAATCCAACCCCGGGGGCAGGCCCAAGACCTCTCCATACCCCCTCGTGTTCTGCTTAGATTTGTCTCTGGCCCATCTTCCCTGTAACTCGCACAACTATCTAGGCAAGAAGGCCTATTGTAACTCTCCTCAGGACCCCTGATCTCCTAACTCTCCTCAGGACCCCTGATCTTCATCTCTCAGGACGAAGGCTTCGTCTCCTCTTCGCATTTGACAACTGGGTCCCTTTGTGCAGAGCTGGAGAAACACAGGGCCCTTCTCCTGGGACCCTGAAGGAGAGATTCTTTTAGACTGTCTCCCAACTGTGCGGGCCCAGCCCGGGTGGGGGTCTCTGTGACTTTCGAGGCCCCGGGCCCGGCCTCCTCGGGTCCATCCTTCCACCTGAAGCGCGGCCAGCCCAGTTCCTCCCCGGCCTGGGGTGGCTCGCGAGCCCACGGGCGCTCGGGTTGTCGCGCCCCCACCCCCCACGCGCTCACAAACGYCGCGGCCACCCGAACCCTCGGCCCCGCCGCGTTCGGCCGCAGGACAGCGGCTCCGCGGGGCCCGGGCTCCGGCGGCTCGGCTCTGCGCGCTGCGCTCCGGCGGCTCGCTGCGGGCGGACTCCCGGCCGCGCCTGCCTCCTGCCTCGGTGGCCGAGCTGGGTGGGTAGCTGGGGGGACCGGAAGGATAGCGAGGAAGTCGGAGAGGGTTTCCTGAGATGAGAGATTACTTCCGTCCGGGCGCTGGCCTCTCTCTGGAGCCGGCTCGCTGGGGCTCCGGGAGCGGGCTGCGCGGGGCTCGGGGCCGCGCCTTGCCACCTGCAGCGCCCGGGAGGGCCGCGGGGGCCTCGGCGGGACGCGCTCGGCCCTGTCGCGGGGGACTAACGCTGGGGATCCTTGCAGGTGGGAGTCGGGAGCGTCTCAAAGCGCCCAAGCCATGGTGGCCAAACAGCGGATCCGGATGGCCAACGAGAAGCACAGCAAAAACATCACCCAGAGGGGGAACGTAGCCAAAACCTTGGTAAGGCGGGGCGGCGCCGGCCGGGCCGGGCCGGGCAGGACCCGGCGGGGCGGGGCCGAGCAGGGCGGGCGGGCCGCGGGCGCAGGGCCCGGCCTCCCGGCTCCGGGCTCCGGGCTGCCCCTCCTGCGGGGTCCCKCAGAGTCCGGGATCAGGGGGCGCGGACTTCTCTCCCGGCGGCCTCGTGGGCGGAGATGGCCCTGGTTGGTCGTGGCCCCTCTGGGAGTGGCCGCCTGGGCTACCTTGGAGGCGAGGGGGCAGTCCCAGGAGAGAATTGGGACGTCGTCCTTGGAAGTCCACCTCCTTAGGGGACAGTTAGGCCAACTGCATGAACACAGGGCCCGAAGCTAGTAGGTGCTAGAATGTTTGTTGAATGAATGAATAAACGAATGGGTAATAGAGGCCATTTAAGATCTCTCTCTTCCAGACTCCACCCTTGCTCTCCCTCCCAGACACACACACACACACACACACACACACACACACACACCCCATGATAGGGTTTTGTTTGCAGCCCCTTTGTATGTTGAAAGAGCTCAGTGTCTAGGAGTGAGATTCCTATCCACATTTCCCTCATCTTTTTTTTTTTGGGGGGGGGGGGGGGTGGGGGTGTTCCTGCTGCCGCCAGGCTGAAGTTTAAGTGCAACATTACTCTTGTTTGCCCTGTGAATTCAGGCTAATTCTGATGGTGTAACCTTTAAAGACCAGTTTATTGCCAGTGGTTCTGTGCTCCCAGAGCTGCAGATTAAAGCTTTACAACCGAAATCTAAAGTAAAACCTGTGCCTTATGCATGAGGATTTAACTTGGTAAAGCAGATTGTTTTCAACGGAAGACGCCAGGCCTGTGCATCTTTTGGACAGAGGCATGAAATGGATGGTTGCTGGACAGAGTTGGTCTCCAAGTCTGAGCAAAGGCACCTGGAATCCATTATCCCATCCAGTTGAGTGGAAGTCCAGCTGAAGCTTGGGGTTTGGCTGGAAAGCTTACAGACTTGATGAGGCAATTCCTTTTAGACAAAGAAATTACGTTTGTTTGATTAACTGAGCAAAAAGCTGAATCTGCAATCATCACACTGAATTCTTGCAAAACCAAGAAGTATTGTCATAGAGAACTCTGAGGTTCAAACTCTACTCAGAGCTTTATGTACAATCTGAGGCTTCAGTGATCCTTAAAATTCTCTTATTGGGTATTACATAACTTAGCTGTGATTAGGGCACCAAAATGCCAGTGTGCCATCAAATTGTAACCATTTTTCATGTAGATCTATGTTTTCCCTATTTATTTTTACTAAAAAAAAAAAGTTGTGGCACAAATTGACATTGAAAAACAAATTTTGATTGATATTACAGCACACATGGTTCTGTGTTCCTAGGAGATCAAATTTTCCTTCTCAAAGTATCAGACCTACTTGCTGACACAGTGAAAATATCTTGATGTGTGGCTCTTTCTAATGATTGAAGGAACCAGAGTTCAGTTGTTAATTGATCTCAGTTGACAACTTATCTGACTGCAAAATAAGAGCAAAGTAAGACTAATTTGCCCGGCTGTTTTATCCATTAAGCTTGGTAGACTCTGTGTCTGCCACCTCTAGCTGTTTTCAAGACCACTAAAAAATGTTTGGGACCTATAACAAAAATTTTGGCTCTTAAATAAGAAAAGAAAATGGGGAAATTGGGAAAACGTTGTTTAAATATCTAGTAAATGTAACCAGTCACCTGCAATTCAACTCAACTCAAATTTCAGAGCTACATTTAAATTATATTTAATGTGCGATATGAGTGTATTTAATAGGTTCTGATATAGCACRGGGTGGCGGGGGGCTCTGAAAGTGCCTGGCGCCTATGAGGGTTTTTAAATGGCCCAACTAAATTTGTAATGAAAGGTTTCCAAACAAGCCACAATAAATGTTTGTTTTCAATTGGTTGGAGAGACTTTTGGTTAACTTTACTGTAAATGGGTCAGTATCCAAAAAGAAAAATGAAATTCTCTTTCAAAAARAATCTCTATAAATCCTAAATCTCATTTTCTCAATTACAAGTCCAATATGATTATACTTTGATAGAAGTAACTTGCAGAAGACAACTTATTCAGTATGAAATTCAGTAAATGGGAACATATTCAGGGATTCCAAATGAAAATTCAAACTTCCCCTTTAATTGAATGCAGACCTTCAGTATCATTATTAGCTGGCAGCTATGGGGCGAATTAATATTTTTTCCTCCCAGATAGCAGATTAATAAAGAAACAGAAAAATAGAATACTCATTTTGTGATTGTATAGTAGTAACTCCTCCAGAATGGGAGGAAAATTTAAATTACAGAGTTCCAGGTTGCCTTGCCAGTATCTTAATACAGGGAACGCCATCCCCTGACATTTTTGAGCCTCATGTTTGAAGTGAACCCTGTCAATTGCAGAATTGCTATTGTTCCCATTCCTTTCCCAGCAATAGATTCAGGTTTATATCCCATTGGGATTGCACTGTCTCTTTCCAAACAATAGAAACCCAAAGCTCTCAGATATGGATGTATCAGTATTATGAACAGCCAGGTATTCATGAGCTCTGAAAGTCCCAAAATATTGATTCACTAGAGAATATCCTCAGAAAGGTTTTTGTGTCATGTGCTTCAAGCTCTACATGCTGATAATTTGTATTTGTTTGCAAGTAAAAAAAACAAAACATTCCGCTTGATATCTATGCTAGACCAATAATTCATTTACTGGCTCCTGAATTCACTTGTTGACTTTGCTGGAAATAGAGCTAAAATGACTAACTATGACAAATTATTTGGAGGGCAGAGAAGGGTAAATGTCACACTTTGTTCCGTAACTTTATTAATATCTGTATTATTTACTTAATCTGAGCTTGACCTGGTCTTTAGTACTGAAGACTGACACAAATAAAGTTATCTTACGCAATTCATAGACTGATTTTTGTCCTTGTCTGGTCAAGAGCAACAGCCTATTATTCCCTTGCAGTGTGACTAAGTAAGGTGAGGGTAGATACAAGTGTAACTGAGGATAGGTACAGGCTTATCAAGAACAGAGATTGAATGGCTTTATTCCTTGGTCATTGACAAATATACCTTTCTACTAAGAGAAATGTAGGGATAACCCTTTCTCCTTTAAGAAGTACTAATACAGCCAGGTGCGGTGGTGCACACCTGTAGTGGTCACAGCAGCTTGGGAGGCTGAGAATAGGAGGATCACAAGTTCAAAGCCAGCCTCAGCAAAAGTGAGGCATTAAGCAACTCAGTGAGACCCTGTCTTTAAGTAAAATACAAAATAGGGCTGGGGATGTGGCTCAGTGGTTGAGTGGCCCTGAGTTCAATCCCTGGTATATTCTCCCCCGCCCCAATAAAAAAATACTAATACAAAAATAAGACGTTTCCTAGATCTGGACTTTATTCTTCCTAAAATGAAATTGTATGSTTATTGATTCTCCTAAGAACATGTGTTATCTGCTACATTTAAATTTTGTGCCAGGCTTTGCTACACCTGAAAGAGACACAAAGCCTGCCCAGGTGGGGCCTCCAGTTTAGTGAAGAGACAGACATTAAACACATAGTAACAGAAATAAATAAAACCTATAAATGATCATATGTAATGATTATATGTACTGTCAAGAAAAAAATTCATGGTCATACAAGTGACTGGTGAAGCAGAAGAGGAAAGGCTTAGAATGTAACAGGAAAACTGAGAACAAATTGTTGCCTGATTCATAATAAAATGAGGGAATTCTTTTTAAAAGTTGAAAGTTTTTATTTACATGAACCTAGAACATAACTCCATATTATGTACAAATGCAACCTGTGTTTTTCAGTTTTAACAATAATGAATTTTACAGGAAGGTCACTACAATGAAAATCAAAGGAAGATTGTACTTTCTTTGTTAGAAACATTACTAAAACTTGTTTAGCATATCCCAAAATTTCATCCTTGATGATAGCACTGCTCATTTTTTAAAAAAATACTAATATGGTATACCTTCAGTGTGTGTAAATGTGTAGCTGTGATTTTCATATGAAAATCACATATGAAACTTTTAGCCCAAATTCTATAAAGTTGATTATATTTTAAAATGTCAACACATTTAATCAAAATCCAAAATTGTATTTTGTGATTTCCACCACCAGTAAATGTTTTGTCAATATATTTACTCTACCAGTATGTTTCTCCCTGCCCTGTGAGGGGTATGTGTGTTATTTAACTTATATTGATTACAGCTTATCTTCTGCTCAACCTAATGAGGGAATAGTGAATCCTTTGCTGTTTTTCATTCTTTCTTCTCCCTTTTTATTTGCTAAGTCATTGGTTTTTCTGATGCTTCACCAGAAAATGTGCTTGTTCCATTGACTGGTTTGGTTTTAAGGACCACTTAAATATAGACCTAGTGGGACATTCTGATTACCACTGTGCTCTTGGTTTGAGAAGACCCCAGGAGGTAGGTAGGATTGTGTTCCTGCAGACAAAGCAGTGGCTTTCTTTTGCCAGAGAATGCAGATTTCTCCAAAGTTCAAGCTTCAGTAAGGCTGAGAGGTGGTTTTTCCAGCATGCTGTTTCCCTCACATCCATCCACTGTTGCTGGGTGCTTCAGTTATTCCAAGGATTTCTACAGCACTGACTTTCAAAAACTTAACATATGAAAGGGTTTGAGAAAATGCCTGTGCTCTCTGATCCTGCTTGGGCTACACAGGTGCAGGAGAGCTAAAAATCTAGAGAGTAAAACACCTAAGGCTCTGTAAAGAATTATATATCAGCTCTTGCTTAGGTTAACAAACTTTGAACCTCAGTTTCTCAATTACAAAGTGGAAATCATCATCATACTTGCTTTATACTGAGATGTGCATGCTGGAGATAATAGATGTGGACTGCCTATTGGTGCTTGGCACGGAATGTGCTTTTAACAGATGGAAGCAATTATCAATATCATCTCCAAAACCTCTGTATTAGTTTGTATTTGTGCCCCATCTGTGCCTAAAATTGAAAACTACCAAGTTCATTGAGTTACGTGGGWGTTAATAGGTTGTGGATAAATTTTTTCAAACCTATCTCAATCCTTTATAATTAACTTTATTCATCTATACCTGTCAATAAGAAAGAGTGAGACCAAATCTGTCTCATTCACAGTAGAATCCCCAGCACCTAGCTCAATAACTAGTAGTTCTCAATAAGTGTTTATGGAATCAATAAACCTAATTTTACTTTTTCCCATTCTCTCATAGAGGCCGCAAGAAGAGAAATATCCTGTAGGACCATGGCTGTTGGCACTGTTCGTTTTTGTTGTCTGTGGCTCAGGTATGGTATTTCACTGAATTTATATCCCATGTTCTCCACTGTCCTTCAAAATGTTTTATTCACCAAGTAAATAAAAAATAATTTGGTCTGGGATTGAAGTTAATCACTGCCTTAAGCCTTAATCTTTGTTTAGATTCTGTTCCAAATATGGGTAAAGATAGAACTGTTACACTATCAAACATAATCATAAAATAATTACACTGAGCAATTAAGTTGACTCTATGCACGAAAGAGTTCAGTTAACTCACTCTGTAGACATAGCCTGAAAAAGAGCATGTGGAACAGAAAGTGGAATACCAAGATAAGTCCGCATTCCAAAGAGCGGGGGAGGTGGCTGCCTTATGAGAGTTCTGTAGATCCCCTGGATAGAACTGAGCCTTCAACCTGAGCCATAAAATGCAGGTCACTTGCCACTGGAAGGTGGCAAGTGCAGAGAGCTGAACTTACAGGACTCCCAGAGGAGATGAGTGAAAGCATCATGCAGTGTTCCTAGTTACATGTTGTTAGTGGGGGTTCAGCACGGCTCCTAGTCCCCGTGTGTTGGGTCTCTGTAATTCTGGTATGTAGAGGTCACTTCTAAACATGGGGCATGCCTTCAGGATCCCCATCCCTTCCATCATCTCTCAATTGCTAAGGACAAAGAAGGTGAGAATTCCAGGTCTCCCAGCATAGGCTCAGGCCTCCGCCAAGACATCCCAAAGACAAAAAAGCCCATCACAAATAACCCATCAGTTCCTTCATCTTCAGGACACCACTTTTCAAAGGAAACCAAAGCTCTTAAGAGGAAGGAGGGATCTAAAGTACTTGGTTTTATTGTTGATTGTAGTTGAAATATTTTAAAGTGGACTTGCCATTCCACGATGAGAAAATCATTCACTCAAAGAAATAAAGYTCTACCTCATTCCCAAGCTATGTCCTTGAAGGAAATCCTTTGCTCAATGTAGGAATCCCTCATCACTCTTTTTAATAGTTATTGACCMGATCTCTGAATACTTCTGGAAATGGGGTGTTCACTTCTTCAAAAAGCAATTCCATGCCTACTAATTCTACTAGAAACATCTCYCCTGTTTTTGAACTACACTATATTGTCTTCTAAGTATTTTGGATTTGGATCCTAGAATAACACAGAATGGATTCATTCTCTTCTGGACATCTTGGATCTTCAGCTATTTTGAAAATGTCTGCCTCGTGGTTCCTTCTGCAGACTAAATTCCWGGTTCTCTCAACCTTGCCTCGTAAGATGTGGTTTCTGAACACCACCACCCGCCCCCAGATATGTTCAATGACTCTCTCAAAGTATAGCATTGGCAAAAGGTGGTCTAGAAGTAGTGTAATTGCCACAGAGACCTAGCATTGTCATAACTCAGGATTTCACCACTCTGCTTCTATTAATGTAACCGAGACCTACTTTTTTTAACTGTCATTTTTTTTTTAATGGCCCTTATCAGCCAACTAAGTCCCATTCAGCTCTTCCTCACAAAAACTTGCTGCAAATATCAAAGATGCATCTATGTCTATGTGTATCTCCTTGTCCCAAGGTCTCCCCTATATATATATATTTTTTTTCCTTATGACCATCATCAGCATTTGAGATTATGTCATTTACTTAATTATTATCCATCCCCCCATACACAAAGGCAGTATTTACATTATGCTAAGTTTGTTGATCCTAGGATAGTATTTGCCATAAAGTGGGTGCTACAGACAGATGGATAACTAGTTCACTTTTTTTGAGACCTAATGTAAAGCTTCATAATTATTTCTGATAAAAAGTTATTGTTAACTGTCCATTGTCTTTCCACAGAATGTCCATAAAGTTTGGAAACATAAACAAGCATGCATAACAAACAGCTTACTAATATTACCTTATAATATGCAGTATGACTGGTGACATTACATGATATAGTCATTGTATTATCCACCATTAACAATACATAGCTGATATCACTGGACAAAATTACAAGGAATGTGGTAATTTAATGCAGCCTTTTCATCAGTACCTATGTAATCAGCTGTGAGGTATTGCTTCCCATTTCTCTCTGATTTTTCACCCCCCCCCMAAAAAAAAMCCYKKYCCYTT